ATTCTATTTCAATTTTTATTTTATCTTTTTCGCATAACTATAACGAGTCTACAATCATCAATTGCCGACGTCCAACGCTATGCTTTGGATAACATCAATCATCAATTGCCGACGTCCAACGCTATGCTTTGGATAACATCAAGAAAATATCTATGCATTATATAAAAAATTGTCACTAAATGCAAAAGGCAATATGATTTTTTTCATGTCACAAAAGTTAATTTCACTTATGTTGCTTTCAAATCAATCACTAAGGATTCACAAAATAGTTAAGAGGATCAAACCACAATTATGTTGTTTGTTTGTAGTTACTTAAGTTGACCTTTTTAATTAATTATTATTATTACAACAGCCATCCCTTTTCATAAGGTTAACATCCTTTAAGCAATGGACATGTTGCCCAATGGGCACAGCCAAAGGTGAGTATGTGAACTTTTGTGATGCTCCCCCCACAAGGTTGCTGGGACCCACGTAAGCACATGGGACATCAGAAAATAATGTGAAAATAAAGTGTGTGGTTGTGGACGAGTAATGTTACAAGTACAAGTGGGACCCACTAAAAATACAAAATTAAATGAACCCTACTCCATGTGAGTGTTATGTACATTTATTATGTACATGTAGCATTTTCCTTTGTCAAAAACATCTTGCCATATTTTTTTTTTATACTATTCTTTTGGGTACATGGCAACACGTGTCTACAATATGTCCTCGGCCCAGCACGGGAATGGTAAATGGGCCAAACAACATATTGTCAACCTCTACTGGGCTGGTGGTGATAGATAATGGAGGAATTTGCACACCGTACTATCATATTTTATTTATATATTTTTTACAATCATGTTAGTTTTAATTATAATCCTACTAATTCACCTTCAAAGTATTGCAAAAAGACCAGATCTGTAGATGTATACAATTCAACCGTTATAAAGGAATCTTTTGGGGCAAATTAAATGAGTTTAGATTATTAATTGAGATTTAGATATACACTTACCAAAACTGAAAGAATACCTCACGTTCCATTACATCTCTGGAAAAAACTGCCCACAGCCCACGTTCACTATCTTTTCGCCAGGCTCTCAACAAAAAATTCTTCAATGGTGAAGACCAAAATTCCAATTTCCACTCGAGAAAAACAAATAAACGCTGCCGTTATAGAACACAGATAAGATCAAGTTCACGGATTCGTAAAATCCACTCAAAAATAAAACTCAATGACGTTAAAAAAAGCTCACTTTTGGGAAAAAAAATATTTGAATTGAAAATTATAAGGATCGATATGATCCTAGGTATATATATTGTATATTTTTCGTATATATATTGTTTATTGAGTGTGTTGTTTTTGTACGGGCTGAGTTTGGGTGAAATATATGAATTGAAAATCATAAGGATCGTATGATCCTAGGTATATATATTGTATATTATTCGTGTATATTGTTTATTGAGTGTGTTGTTCTTGCATGGGCTGAGTATGAGTAAGAGATTTGAATTGAAAATCATTAATGATTTCTATGATTCTAGGTATAGATACTGTATATTTTTTGTATATATATTGTTTATTGATTGTGTTGCGTTCTTGATGTAGCGCAGCGATAAACGAAAGGGAATAAGATATAAAATCTTAAAATACGATAAGTTTATTCAAAGATAGCCAATCGGCTTG